CTCAGCTTCACTGACAAAGATGTGAGTTGTTTGGGAGGGCCAGTAACACATTGGTGGAAAATGATGAAATTAGGCTAATTTTTACGTGCCAAAGGGGTCCCCGGTGATGCTATTTCATTAAAGGAAGAGCAGAAGGTGATTAAAACAAGAAAGCTAGTCTCTAAAACAGACATGGCTACAGCTTGATGCTAACATGTTTGTTAGCTGTCAGATTTCAGTCAGAATTCTGAGAAAAAAGTCGGAATTCTGAGATTCAAGTCAGAATTCTGACATTTTTTCCCATATTAAACTGAAATAATATTGAAAAATCAATTAACTTTTTTATTTTTTCAGTGGCCCTAAACCTCTTCTGTAGAACAGTCAGACGTAGATGTATTAGAAATATAGATCTGGCTGTTAAAGACAGGCTCTGTGTATGCACCCTGATGCTCTATCTCTCAGGTTATTTTCCCTCAAAAGAGATCACTCTGGACAAACTCTTTAAATAACATTTCATTATTATATGTATTAAATAAACAGGAGATTCTGAAAGAAATTGTAATCTTACTCAGATCAGAGAAATTGCTTAGAATGTAAAGAAGGCAGCTGCTCACCTCTGGGCTTCTCTCTCAGGAATTGGCCAGGATTAACAGTTAAAAATTTTATACATCTCCAGGCTGCCACATCATCTTATTTTACATCATACACATTAGCAGATGATTAGACATCCATGGCTCCAGCCTTATCAAAATATTACACTTAGCTGAAGGACACCGCTCTCATTCCATGTCCAAATCTTTGCCACATACAAAATAAAGATTACAACTGTATATCCAGAACAAGGAACTGTCCTAAGTAGATTAAAACATCAGTTCTGGCACGCAACATGCAGCCAATACCAAGGTCTAATAAACTCACACATCTTCAATGACAATTATACTAACAGGCTTTTGTTTTGTTCTGGCACAGTATGAACATACAAAGAACTTAAGACATAATCAATGGGATTCAAATGGGTTCTGTCTCAAATCTACTTATGGTTCTGAAAAAGTGTTAAACAGGTCTGCACATCAAAAAATTCAGGTTATTAAGTTGTACATGATTTATTTATTAGATATGAAGCCAAACTGTATAACCTGTAGGTAGAAAACATGATCCATCAGCTTTTAGAACCTGCCTGTAGAACCTCATTTAGCACTAGCAGTGGTGTCAAGTAACGAAGTACCGGTACAAATACTTTGTTACTGTACTTAAGTATTTAGGTATCTATACTTTACTCCATTAATTTTTTTTCTTCTTACTTCCGACTTCTGTCTGTACTTTCTAACCCTTAGATTTTATAAACAAACTTTACTCGTTACTCTTGGCTTTTGTTTAATGTTTATAAATATTTATTTCACTTCATGTGCGTCATCCAATGCAGATAATTGGCGCCATCTACATCTAGTAAAAACTGTTGTAATTGGATGAGTCATATAACGCAAACACTCATTGGTTAGCTAAAGGAAATCATCAGAAGCAAGCAGGTGTTCTTCAAACTGCAAAGGTGAATTGTCTATGCCAGGCATCCCCAAACTCATTATAATGATTGCAGTAGACCAAAAGCTTGTTAATCAGCTTTCAATTAAAATCAGCTGTGCTGGAGCAAGGAAACCTCTAAAACCTGCAGGACAGGGGGCCTTGAGGACCGAGTTTGGTTATGCCTGGTCTATGCCATGCTACAATGTTGGATTCAGAAAAGATGTTGAAATGTCTGAAAGGTCGGACACAGGTGAGAGCGTATCGGGAGATGGAGACCCACAAGACCTCCTTCATCCTTGGCCCTATCTCAAAGAATTTTTCGAAATAGTCGAAAAATTGAGCTTGTGCTCTGAGAAGGTGAGAAGGTTGCAAGTACACGGTTTGATAACCTGCATTCTGGGTTCCTGAGCAAGACTCTTAACCCCATGCTGCTCCATGGGTGTCACACATTGGCAGCCCACTGCTCCCCAAGTGGATGGGTTAGATGCAGCGAGTGAATTTCCCAATTTTGAGCCAATAAAAGATTTAACTTTCATCTCCTTTGTCCCAGACATCATCCTGATTAAATTTGCTGTACCATATGCTGCTATCTTGTTCTAGTCTTTATCTTGTTTTACTCTTTATCTTGTTTTAGTCTTTAACCACTTAAACCTGACACACTGATTCTGTCTTCCAGTATGCTTGTCATCACTGATAATCAGAAGATAGACGTTGTGTTTTATAGGAAAAGTAACATCTCCAGCTAGAATATGAACATTAGCGTGGTATTCGGTAGGTATGCGGGTAGCATGTTTTCATGGGGGCACAGAAAAGCATGAAGGAAAACAACCGGTCAAGGTATTCAAATCAAATATATTAAAAGAGCTGCATGAATTGAAATGTCTTCAATTAGGTTTAATTGAAATTATATGTCTTCTAACTGAAAATATTAATTTTTGGCTCAAAAATGTTCATTTAAATTATCGTTAAAATCAAAATAAAAACCCCTTAGCATAGCAAAAAAGCAACTCAAGAAATTGTAGCTATATGAATATATTTAAAAAACATAACAAAGCTATTTAGAATATTACGTCAATATACATTCATCATTTATGAATTTTTATATATTTTTAACTTAATTTAAGTTAAAATGATAGTTTTCTATAAAATTAGAAATAGAACTCAAGAAAAAACTGAGCAATTCAGCTGTAAAAGTATTTTTTTTTTATTTGTTTTGAAAAAAACAACAGATTAAAACTTGGATCCTATCTCAATATCAATGAAGGCATCACCTTATTGATTTTAAATAATTAGTAAAACAGCATTTTTTAAAGAAAAAAATTAAATAGATCTAAGGACCTATCAGAAACCCTGTCTGCTCCAGCGCATATCATCATTAGAATTTATCTTAGTATTATGTATTTACTACAGGGGCCACAACAGGGGCCAGGACATGATCTACAGGGGCACTGGCCCCCGTTGGCCCCTGTCTAGAACAGCCCATGTTAAAAAAAAAGTATTCCATTTATTCATGTTAATGAATGAATGTTAATGTCACGCTGACTCTGTCTGACTGTAATCTCGCTGTCAATCAATGTGAATGAATTTCCACAGGAAGTGTGTTTTAAACTTTTTCAAAATAACATTATTCATTTAAATTCAAACAGCTTCCTTCAAAAAGTGACGCTAAATGTTTCTGGCTGCTGTGGTGTGCAGAATGGGGTGCAGAGGCAGCTCAGAGTTGTTAACACATATTTAAAGTAGTAAAGTTTCTGATTTAGAACGCCTTTGAACCATTTATATATCTGTTTGCTTTAAAAATCTACTGATATAGAAATTTTGAAGGACATAAACACAAAGCGCGTTGCACTTTACACGATCGCACGCCAACGCGGTCCAGGTTTCAAATAGTGTTATTTAACATTGTTTATTTATTTATTTATTTTTTCTCTGCGATGGACTGGCGACCCATGATCTCACTGGATTAATGATTGCCCGAAAAAAGTGAAGCCACCGTCCGCCATGTTGGTACTCCCCACTTCTACGGAGACAAGCAGTAACAGTGCCTACATGTGTAGCATTTGGCTGCAAAAAAAAGTAGTTTCCTGGCTGTAGGAAGACTATCCACAGGTAATTTCACAGTCAGTGGATGTACTAACCAAGAAAATCCATATATACCCCGATGTATCTATATTATGTAGCGTAGCTGTTAGTCTGCTATCTTGGACTAAGATATAATGACTAAATTAGCCATTGACATGTCTAACGTTA